GAACGACGCGACGACGGCAACCATAGCCGGATTGGTGTAGGGAGGTATTGTCCGCTTGGTGAGGCAACGACAGTGCTTTTTTGGCGGCGGCAGCATTTTTGACGGTGGCGTGGTAGCGTTGTCGAATTTTTTTGGAGGCACGAGTACGGAGGTGCATCTGGTGGGACCACGCTGTTGAAATCTTGGCTCGGCGGCAACCTTTTTGAGGGGGAGATGCTGCCAATTTTTTTTGGCACGACAGCGTGGTACCGGTTTCAACGGCGTGGCGAGCGGCAGTCCCGCTTTTAATTTTTGATGTGCACTGGTGCACAATTGGGATTGTGCGGCAGTGGTGTTTGGACCAGCACCATGAAAAGAGTGCGGAATGAGTACACGCGGCAGTGACTATTGGGTTTGGCGGCACATGCGTTTTTCACCGCGGTCACCTTTATTTTTTTGGCAGCGCACAATGCAACTGGTTTTGAGTTCTGGACGATCTGGTATTGCGGGCGATGATGTGGGATCAACCGGGGCTGTTTGGGATCAATTTGGGACCAAGTGGGACCAACTTGGGGTGCGAACGCAGTTGTTTGAGCGTGTGTGGATTGTCAAGTTGGGTTGGCGGTATCCTTGGTGGGGGGAGTACAGTTGGGACTATGTTGGGGCAGCCTGGGACATTAAGACCACGTGAAAACTCATTTGTAGGAACACCCTCCTAGAGGGCTATCTCGCTTGAGTTAGTCTGGCCCAGTGTCTGCTCACTTGAGCACTTGGTGGAGGACGCTGACCGTCATTCAGGAGAAAGGCCACAACTTATGAGTTATGTGCCACATATTTTTCTACAACGGTCATTTTCCTTTGATTGATATGTTACTCGACTTTCTTGAGTGAGCCGATTCAAACTTCACTCGAGGTCAGTTGAATGACTCAGACTTCCTTTCACCCCTGTGTGAACCCACACTTTGCTTGACCTTGTTCGTTTTGAATGTTCGAAAGAAAAGGTAGAGGAAAGTTGTGCAAGTCATGCATGTGAATGGAAAAGTCTAACTCGAGTATGGGATTGTACTGTTTTCTCTTGAACTTGTTTTCTATGCATGTTGTGCAGGTAGGTAGAAGGATGCTTGCAAAGGAGATTGATTATGCCTATCTAAAAGAAGGGAAAATGATTGTCTTCCTTTTACTTCTCACCTACCTGATGTCAATAAGGACTTGTTGTTCTAAAAAAGGTTAATCCAATGCATGTCGTAAAATGAATACGATTGAAATAAAGTAGATGAGGTCAAACGAACTTAGTCTATCTCCCAAGGGATAACCTTTCCATCCCAAACGACCTTCTCTGCCTGTACCTGTCCAAATGATTCTCATTCTTTACCTTTCCTGAATTCTTTTCGTCCAAGTTACCCCGAACTTAGGAAAAATGAGAATAATTGAAAATTATGTGCGGTGAACACATCCTTTTTCTTCAGGAGGCATATGGGGCAGGGGTTCGTTGCGTCAGGAGCCGACCCTGTTATTGACCCAGAGTGGACCGTTCTACGGGGGGGTACTTTGCCGATTCGGTGGAGACGGCCCGACTTCTGAGATCCGAGTCTTGTGCTCGGACGAGGAGGAGTACCCCAGACCACTTCCTAGAGGAAGAGGCATGCAACACGTCAAGCAATGCCCCTGATCAAGAATCATTCGCAAGGTGGCTTGTCATCCGAAGAGACTGGAAACGGATGAAGACATGTATGTGTGTCGAATCTTAAGTCGGCGGTAGATGGAATGAATAACTTTGGCAACGCGTCTCATCAAGTCAAGATTAGGGCAGCCTATTACCTTGTCGGCTGCATTTATATTATCGTCGGTAACGAACTTCGTGTTGGCGGTGGCCATGATTGTTTTGTGGAGTTCAACCTCAGATGATCGGATTGTTTTTTTTTATCTTGTTTGATTGGATATATTGTATGATGATTGAATTCTTTCGGTTATCATTTCGGATTGAGTATGTTCCTGTCGATTACGATCGATTTCTTTTGATATAACTATCTGTGGATGTTTTAACTTTCGTTTGACTTTATGTCTCAGGGACTAGGATTAAGTTGAGGGTTTCACGCTTTGTTGAGACCGTCCTAATCGACCGACGTTCGCTTCGTACTTAGGAGATCAGCTCCCTTGGAACGAACGGCGTTCGGGTCCACTTGGCGTTAACCAAGCGTATCTATACTACGGTGAACGAGCAAACGCCCTCAACTGACCTACCTCTGCAATTGCATCTAAAAGCTTTCGCACGTGGGTCAGTAGCTCGGTAGGGATACGCCCCTAAGGGTAGTAACAGCCCCTTAGGGAAGGAAAGCTTATATGCCCCGCGGGAACCTATCCTGTCGTAGGGGACCGCGGGATGTACAGCTAGCGCACCCGGCTAGAGCGGCGACGGGACAACGCAACCGCGGCCATCTTGGCGGCTCGCGGGATTAGTTAGGCGTCGTTCCTGAGTTGTCTCTTGGTATTGTTTAGTTTAAACTCCTGCGTGACATGGCCGGGAGGGCCCTCGTTCGCGGGAGGGCCGATGCGATCGACAATACTGCGTCGTCCTGACCTTCCACAACGAGTGCGGTCGCTGGGGTACTGAGGCGGGAAGATACGTTGAACCCTGTTTCCAGCAGGTGATTCTCCCCACCAATAGATGTGTAGGGATCTATGATTGTTCGTTGGGCCCAGTTTCCAGCGGGTGATGCCCCCCACCAGAAAAAAAAGGTGGGAAAATATGGAGTATCATGCGTGGCCATGGCGGCTATGTGGCAGCGTGGATTGTTTGCAGCCAAGGCAGGTGATGTGGCAGCACGAAGCAAGAATTTGTGGGTAGGCTCAACATTGCACACAGCGATGTCAGGCATGGTGTGAGGTGATGCATGTAGGCACAACTCTCGGAGTTAGGGGGGTGTAATTCGCGCTTTTCAATAAGATCGTGTGGAATCTCAGCTGTGTCGGTATAGTGATGCTGGTCGGTGTCTTCCTTATAATTCTCCCATCTGTGAGTTGTGCGCGAAGTCATAGTTCAACTATGAAAGTGTTTCGTAGGGGAGTTGTTGGATTGGTTGCATCGCGCCTGTGGCTTCTTCGTTTGTGTGCTTTCTTCACGGGGCGATGACAACGGAACTCATGCGAGTAGCACATGGGCTACGATGGTGGGATATGGTGAGAGGTTAACTATATCTCCATTGCGTTCTTCGAGATCGTCCTTGCTGCATGCACTTCGCTATCATCAGTGCTTTCATTGTGTTCTTCGCGATTGTCTATAATGTTGCTGTAGTGACTCGACTCATGAGAAAATCTCGTCCTCCACGCTTCGCGGATCTTGGACTTTTGAGTGTTCAAGATGGGGAGGGACTGTTGTCGCAGAAGTGTTGATGCTGGCTCTTTGATGTTTTCCCTTTGTTATGGTTGACATACATGCCTTGTTCACCACTGTTGTAGATTCTTTGTGCCACGTGGTGCGAGGGTGGCGGTCCCGTGAGGTAGGGGCAACATCTCATGAAAGTGGATGGTGATTGTTGAAGTCGATTCACGGAGATTGTAGAGGTGCTGTATTGGTTATGGTATACCTTGCCATTGCCATATCAGGTTGGTCTCTTCGATCTAACTGACTGGGTAGCTGCGACAAGCATGACTCAAATATGGTTCTCCTTACTTCCTGAGTTTTGAATTTCAAGGTCGAATTGGTTTTTCTTATTTCCTAAAATCCTGAAATCCGAATTCATTGCAATAACCCGTTTAGGTATGCTAATGTCGTCGGCCAGGGGGCCACCCACAGGCCACAGTTCAGCCTCAGCAATGCCCTGCGTCTGACTGTGCAAAACAAGGCACCTGAAATGAGGCCTCAGAGGCCTCAGAGGCCCTGCGCCCGGCAGTGAGGCTCACGAGGCAAAGTCTGCACGGACCCAGTCAAGGCCACCGATCAGACACACACTTGGCTGTACGCAGGTATCCAGGCAGAATCTGGTCCAAGTGTCGGCTGCAACTGTATGCGATCCAGGCCATCGGTTGTGAGTCAATCCGAGCCTTCGTACCTGGGAGACCAGAGGCTGGTCAATTGTGTCAACGTTACTTATTAACCCAGCCTCTATGGGTGGACATTCAGTCTTGCACTTGCTGCTCGACGGTGGCACGACGCTGGCTGGACGCTAGTGCTATGCTGGCATTGTGTGTGACGACGAAGGGAGACTGCTGTATCTGGCACTTTGAACCGAACGGCGACGAACCAACACCGGAAGAGAAGCATAAGGAGTTCATGGCCAAGCTCGTGACCAGGCTGGTTTACACATGTAACCACCTGCAGTCCGAGCTGGCAAACCTTCAGCGGGCTGTGCGGAACCATAAGACTCAGCATGAGGATGCCACACGGGCACTGGACGCCCGTGTACTGGACCTGGAACAGGCTGTACCAGGACCAGCTGTTGGGGCTTCCAGCAGTGCATCCTCTAGCCGCCAACTGGAGGAACGCGTTGAGACATAAGTGCCTTCACAGAGCCGGCCACCATCAGCCAGCGGTTCGAGTTGCTGGACACTAAGATCAGTCAGCAACAGCAGACCGACCACAGCCACAACAACAGCTCGGCAAGGCCATACAAGATGCCGACGTTCCRGATCGAGAAATTTGATGACTACACACATCAAGACCCGGTCGTCTGGTGGCAAGGATTTATAACGGAGTTGGGGATCCACGAGGTCCCTGACCATCTGTTCATCAGTGCTCTGTTCATCAACACCAAGGGAGGATGTCAGATCTGGCTCAGCCACATGGCAACCATCCACGGCGTCCAGGTTTCAGACCTACACAAGGTCTCCTGGGCGGATATGACAAAGGAATGGAAGAAGCGGTTCATAGTGGATGACGCGCCTGCGCTCGCCATCAACCGCATCTTCGCGATGGCTCAAGGGAGCACACCGACACGTTACTGGTTAATGGATTGGTAGAAGATCGTGGCCACGCCCGATCTGGACCTGCCATTTCCGCATCTGCGCCGTGAGTTCTACAACAGGTCATGCGCCGCTCTTAGCCTCGCACTTGGTGATCGCGAGCAGCACCACACTTTCGCAGAGATCATCAACAAGGCGAGAGAGATCATCAAGACCAACAGGTCAGCTGCACACGAGAAATCAACATGGCAGCGGACCTATGTGGAGAAGGCACGAACTGGTCCGCAACAACAGCACTTCGCTGTAGTCCAGCAGGACAGTGGAGATAACCCAGCAGCCACTCCAGCATCAAGTGATGGAGATCAGGTGGCTGCTGTCCAGCCGCGAAGCAAGTCCCGCAACAATGGGAAGGCGAAATCCGCATCGCAGGCCGGAAATGGACAGCCAGTACAAGTTCCATGGGTCAAGTTTGGCTTGACCGAGGCGGAGTACAAAGTTCGCGGCCGCTACGGCAGCTGCTATTGGTGCAACAGCACCAAGCACAAGACCTCCCTGTGCCAGGATCAGGGCAAGGAGGATGTGCGACCCCGCCT